TACTTTGAAACAATGTCTCCCCAATGTCTCTTCAGTAAGAATGTAGATATTCTTACCTACTCTAGCTTGTCAAGTAATGTGATAAACATGTATATGTTATCAGTTTTGGAAATTGGATTTTTAAACTAGATGCAAATGTATGGATTCAGTTCCATGAAGATGCGTTTTATTTAAGAGGCCAGAAGGTTGTTCAGAACAGTCAACTGTAGACAAGAAGGTATGCAAACTTCAGTGAAATGCCTACTCAGATACCTATGGTGTTAATTAATTGAATTTTTATATTGATGAGTTTACAACAGAGAAACTATTTATGTTAAAATCTTTATATACTATCTCATACATATATATATCTTTGTTTATCTTTTTTTTTGTGTAATAAACGTGTTATTTTCTTAAAGAACCTTTGCAGCTTTATGTGTAAATGTTCAGCAATTAATCACCACAGTAACCTACAGCAAAAATTAAACTTATGGTCTATCAAGCCAGGTTTTACCGTGAGATCTCACTTCCAACACTAAAATCAGCTGGAATCACCGTAGTACATGTGTCATAAATTTGTAATTTTGTCATTGCACATGGGAGAACTGCCAGTTCGATAGCACTGAGAGAGGAAAAGTTTTAATCACTGTGTCTAACCCAGTGTTTCAGCTGTGGCTCACTTTGTTCTGTATCAGTTCCTTCTGTTGCTTGTAGCAGCTGTCACAGCTTTTAATATTTATGGATCTCTCTGTCAGTAGCCAAGTTTCTATATGGCTGTTCAATACTCAAATTCAGCTACACTTCTAACGCCATGGGTGGAACCTTGTAGGAGCCTGAACAACTTGGGCAATGGTGAGAATTGTACGAGAAGTCCAGATGTCAAGATGGGCCTCACTGCATCTTTTAACTAAGTTCTAAGTCTCAAGGTGAGATTCTCACTCAACAGTGATGAGTTGCCTGTTCAGGAGGATTATTGCTTGTTGATGATCTTACTAACAGCGTATCTTACCTCATTAATATGCGGCTTCCTATCTTACCAGACACCAAGAATTCGCGACATAGAATTCAGACCAGGTTCCTGGCAAATTCAACTTGTCGCTGGTAGCATTGGTCACTCTGCAGGAGCACCTCAGAGCACAATCTGAGTGCCAGCCACATGCATTCAGGGTACACTGCTGCACTTAGGGTACACTGGCAACTATCATTGTAATACTGCAGCAGGGACACTTTGTATTCAGGGACATGCTTCCCATTCATGTACTTGACCAGGCTACATCTCTGGGCTGTTCACTTTTTCTCTTATGGCTCACTCTAAGATCTTCACACCATCCCTGTCGTGCCTTGCCTTGCTTTTTCTTTTTATCCCTATACCTCAACCATAGATAGCAGGCTCATAGTAATTTTGTCTGGCTTTGTTGTTTAGGCAGACACAAAGCGAGGAAGCTTGTCATAGTTGTCAGCAATCCTCAGTCAAGTAAAGGGAGACAGACTTCGGTCAAGCAGTCTGGCACACTAAGTCAAGGGCAGCCTCCAATTCCACTTCAGAGACTTAGGTCAGTCATTCAGCCACTCGGGGCACTCAGTCAGGATGATCTCCTCGTAAGGAATGAGGAGCTGAATGTCAGGTAGAGCAGGACCCATCTTGACTCTTTCTGACCTATTGGTGATGTTTTCCTCCTGCAGTGAGAAACAGGTAGGTATTAGGAAGATGAAAGTGGGTGTCAGAGCTATTACTTTTGGTACAGATAGGTGAGTAGGCAGTGCAAAGAGCATGCAGGCTGAGTGGTGTTGAGGGTTGGGTTGGGTGAGGGCAGGTGAGGGAAGATGTTGAAGGTAATACGTGAACGTCCTGGGCACATAGGCCTTCAAAACTGAGGAGCAACATGTCCGATAGGCATGCAAAATTTCTTTGAGGTCAGACTCATCTTCCTACACCATAAAAGGTCACCAAACTGCTTGCAGCCATGAAACTATGACGGTGATGCTGCACCATGACACTGACAATCTCCACAATTTTGATTATTGTCCTGTTAGGAGTTTTCAGCTCTCAAGGAAAATAATGATCCTTGTGTGCCTAATCTCCATGTGACAGAAGGTCCCTGTCTACGACTCTTGGGGCTGGCACATTGTGGCTTACCTGGCTATTGCCTGACTGTAAGAATTGCCATAGGAGTTCAGAAATTTCAGAAGTCCATATATGAGTTGCTGCATATGGAGAGTATTGCATAAGCAAGGCTTTTTGGATATTGACACAAGACAGCTGTAAATAAATAAGCAAAATTTCGTTTATAAGTGAACACACATGGGTGTTCGCCTCTCACAATACCCATGAGGGAACTCAAAATACCTTTGTCCAAGCGGCATATTTATACTTGAGCTTCATGTGACATTCTCATCATCAGGTATCTTCATATATTCACTTGACCAGCTCCTTGTAATGTAAGCTCTTCTTGATTGTTACATATCAGCTGCTATTAATTTTCCAAATGTGCCAAGTCAATCTTTTATCTGGTTTTCCTCCTTTATCTCTGTTCCTTTCTTAATCCATCTCTTAATTATACCTTTTCACATGATGCTTAGGCATTTTACAAGGAAAAAGCAGTTCTCAGCTTTTAACAGCTTTTAATTTTAAGCTAAATGTCTTACAATTCCTTATCAATGAGGGGCCAGTGAGTTGTCTGTTCCTTGCAAGTGAAAGGTAACTTGCATGAATTTGGCTGCGTTGTTGTTTATGTGTGCAACCCTTCATGAAATGGGTTCTTCATGTCTGAGAGGTGGTCAGATGGGGCTGAAGGGAAATGCACATCACTTTAGGGGTGTACTCTGTAGGACCTGCTTTGCTGCACAGGGTGATACTTTTAAACTGGAGCAGTGACAGATTAGGTCATCAAGATAGTTGTCAGATACACGGAAACAGCAGATTAAAAGGCTCCAAGAAGTCTGTAATGGTTTGACTATTTCAGAAGGGATAATGATGCTGGACCATCTTTCAGAGTAGCATTTACAAATTGCATTTAAACAAAAGAAGAAGTATGAAAACCAGTACTCACATTCAGAGTTGCATCCATTGATTTTAAGCCACCTCAATAGTTGCCCACATTGATTTTGAACATGTTTCTGTCTTTAAACAAAGATTGCAAATAAGGCAGAGTTTACTTAGGACCACTCCAGAATCATCTCACTTTCATTTCTGGGTTGGATCTACCACTGTGGGCAGAAAACCTGCTTCCAGGTCAATTAAGGCAGCAGAAACCGCACAATTATATCCTATGGCACCCTGGAGATAGAAGCTGGAAAGCACCTTGAGTTCACTCCTGACTCTCAATTCTCCTTTGGAAAATTCTGACTGTAGTTATTATAATTCAAATGTATTTCCTATACTTCTTATTCATACTGCCCACAGGAGTTCCTTTCAGTGAATATATCTGCAAATCTTGGAAAACATTGGCATATACCAAATTGTGAATCATACAACTAAGGAGCAGTAGGCTGACTACAGTTATCCATCCAATATGCCATAGATCTTTCCAAATCATTAGGAACCATTTCAGTGGTGGATCATAACAGCAAAACTGGCAACTAAATGTATTGATTGAAATAACATTTAGCGGAAGGAAAACAAATTCACCAAAGAAAATAGTGATAAGATACTAAACTTCTTATTGATTCTTTTCAACCCAACTTATGATACCAGAAACAATGACATTCCAGTGAACCTTTTACATTTGTGTGTTCTTAGAGTTAAATTTTCCCCATAGAGACACATAGAAATGATCCTCCTAAAACAAGCCTCCAAAATACAATTCAGTATTAGAAAGAGCTTATTATAATTATTACCAAAGTCAGGCAGCTTCTGGCTACAGCAGAATCAAGCAAATTAAGAACAGTAAGATGTTAATGAACGTTAATTAGGAAGCTCTACCACCTGTCATGACAATGGATCAGAACGTGGGAGTACTTTTTCAGATATTGAACTTTTAAGTCCTTTTTTTTATGAAGAGGACAAACAGCCAAAATATGAATGGGATTGTTAATTTATTGAAGAGGATGCCTGGAATCTGACACCTGAAGGTAACAAAAGAACTTCAAACAGGAGAGAGACAAATCAAACAAACTAGACTGTGATCTGCTATGGCTGCAGAAAAGCAAGGGACTAACTATGCCACTTCCTTCCCCTATACCCACCCCACCCCCAATAGAAAGCCATCTCCTGCAGATTCTGTCACAAACTATGTATTGTATTTTAGCCTTACAGGAAAATACAAAACGATGTTTAAAAACCCTGGTCTCAGTGTGTTAGTGGACTGATATGCTAGTGTGCTATGAATGTCACAGTTTGAGGATAGCCATTAAGCACATCTGTGCTGTAGCTTAAAAAAAAGTAAAGACAATCTCTTGCTCCAGGTGCTGCAGGCCAGCCACCATCAGATGAAAACAGGACAAAAGAATCTCCGATACCTGCAAATCCAAGAATCTCGAAATTGACTGTTCAGCTACCAACGTCAACGCAACTGGTATCACCGAAAGTAATAAACGTAACATTCCATTATCTCCTCTTCATGAACAACCCTGATACTGATCTGTCATCTCATATTTAGTAACTAATACATTTCTTCAACTAAAAAACCTGGTTAAATCAGCTCCTTTTGAAACATTTATGGTGGGAGAAAGGCATCCAAAATGGAAGGGATTGTTTTTAAATTATCCTTGTTGTGAACAAACGAAGTGGGGGAGTGAATAAAGAAGAGAGGCAGGATTAAAGAAGAGAGCCAGTTCATCCCGCCTCACTCGGGAGCTTGACAATTTGGGGTATCCCGTCTGGAGCAGTAATAAATTGTGGAACCTTACCCAGGGACTGGCGTACCACAAACAGAACTCTTAAATGAATGAGAGATAAGACCTGTGCACTTTTACAAAATAATCTTATTAATGCTGTTTGAATATCACAGATCTTGAAAGTCAGGTTTTCTTCTTTCTCCAAAACTGAAGAGACAATTGTTATCTTCTTTAATCAATCAAAGGCTCTCTTTGTTTCAAATCCTTATTCATCCATGGAGATTTTTCAAGGCTGTAAGAAAACTAAATAAAATTCTATTTAATCACCCACTTCACATCAGGAACTTTCTCAACCAGCAAAAGAAACACTGAATAGAACATCATTTGTAATGAAAGCAATGCCAGCAAAATTCAAGGATTGGATACAGAATTGTTTAGATTCATTTAATTTTTATGAACACTTGATTCTGTGGCAAAAGAAAAACTCAGCCTGTTAGGGAATCAGAAAATACAGAGTTTGGCCTACTGCTGAGAAAGGCAGAAAAGGGTGCACTTCTAAAGCAGCAAATTACAATTTTTTTATCAACTGTTACTAAGGAAAAAAAGATGCAGAAAAGGAAAATTCACAACTTGGACACCACAACAAAAAAAAAGGTTTATTTCACAGAATCACAAACCAGGATGCACAATATCAAAATAGTATAAGAAGGGAAATGACTGCTGTCAGATGAGGCAACATTGAAGAAGTCAAGCAAGAATTGCTTAATGGACAGTTCAGTTCCGAAACAAGTGACTCAACAATCCACATCCTGAAACACATTCTCATCCATGACTATTGTTTAGACTATTGCTTGTTATTGTTTAGCAGTAAAATAAATAGTTTAGAAACTTCAGTATCATTTTCCTTAGTTGTTGCCTCCAATCAAGTTTTTAAAACACCAAAAGGGTTATTCCTGTAAGCATGGGCACAAATTATATCATGGTTACACAGAAGGCATATGTCCATGAAACCTCAATCCAAGCTATGGGCTACAAATATCATTATCACCATGACTATTTTGCTAAGAATCATGTCAAGGTTCTTAGAATTGCATCACAAATTCTTACATGGAATCAGATGTTTACACAAGAACATAAGGAGTAGGAATAAACCATTTAGCTCTTGAGCCTGATCTGTATAAAATCACAGCTTACCTTAACTCCAATTTCCTACATGCCCACCATAACCCTTGATTATTTTATAGGTTAACCATCTTTCTAATTCAGCCCTGAAAATATTTGTTGACCCAGCCTTCACTGCTGCTTGTGATAGGAAAAAAATCAAAAACTTAACAACCTTCCAAACAAAGAAATTCATCCTCATCTCGGCACGGTGGCTCAGTGGTTAGCACTGCAGCGTCACAGCACCAGGGACCCAGGTTTGATTCCAGCCTTGGGCGACTGTCTGTGTGGAGTTTGCACATTCTCCCCGTGTCTGCATGGGTTTCCTCTGGCTGCTCTGGTTTCCTGCCACAGTCCAAACATGTGCAGGCTAGGTGGATTGGCCATGCTAAATTGCCCGTAGTGTTCAGGGGTGTGTGGGTTATAGGGGGATGGGTCTAGGTGGGATGGTCCAAGGGTCGGTGTGGACTTGTTGGGCTGAAGGGCCTGTTTCCACACTGTAGGGATTCTATGATCTATCTCCATCTTAAATAGGAGATGCGTTATTTTGTAACTGGAACCCTTAGTTCTAGATTCATCCACAAGAGGAAACATACTCCTAATATCTATTCTATCAAGCTTCCTCAGAATGTTATATATTTCATTGAGATCACTTCTCATTCTTCTAAACTCCAATGATTACAGCCTAACCTGCATACATTTCTTTGTACGTAGCACCTTCACCCCAGCCTAGGTTAGCCCAAGCAACCTATTTTGATGACACCTTTAAGAATCTATCCTTGCCTCATCCTCATCCACTGGCAATACCTTGGCAACATCATCCTAGACATATTAATTTCCACATGTGCGCTGAGGACATATAGTCTTTCCTCTCCTCAGTCTCCCTCAGCACTTTTACGAACTCTGTGCTGTCAGTTTATTTGTAAATCTTTGAGTATCTAGTAATGAATCAGCCACAATTTCTTCCAGTCAAAGACTAGTCAAACCAAAGCCTCTAATGCAAACTCCATGCCTCTGTCCCCAATTCTATTACATACTCCATTCTTGGCATCATATCAAACCAATTGGTTCCATAGTACTTGATTCTGATTTGAGCGTCTGACCTGTATCCTTTCCAACCCAAAAGCAGTCTACTTTCACGTCAAAAACATTAGCTGTCTCTGCATTAATCTCAACTACCTGCTGCTGAAACCCTCATGTATACATTTGGCTTTTCTAGACTGGACCATTCTAATGCTTTCCTGTTAGTCTATCATCCACTATCCCCAAGAAACTTCAACTTGTTTAAAAGTTTATTCTTCTTATGCGATCAAACCAAATCCCTTTCATCCATTACACACATTCCTGTGGGCCAACCTTGGCTTTCCATTCCCAAAAACTTTAAGGTTTAAAATTCTCCTGCTTCTACTTAGGCTAGGGTTAACTAGCACTTCATGGCCTCGTTCTCTATATCTGTTCCTATGTCTGTAATCTCCTCTAGTCTTGCGAGCATCCAACCCCCGAACTTTCCATTCTTTTTTGTGGATCTTTAAGCTCTTATCCAACCATTGGCAAATGAGTCTTCAGGCATTTTAGTTCCTCGCCTTGAGAATTCTCTCCCTACATGCTCTTTCTACCTGCTTTATTAACCTACTTAAAATCCACTTTATAATCAACCATTTACATACCTCTTCCGTTCTCCTTTGGTTCAGTAACTATTTCTGCCTGATTGAACCTCCATGAAGTACACTGAAACTTTGTATGTTCCACGACAAAGCGTTTTATAAAAGGATATAGCATTGTTAGCCTCCGCTCAAAGAGTAGTGATAATCCCATATGAATCCCTTTTTGCATAACATTTCTCTTTTTTTCCTCTTCAATCAACTGTCTAACCCTTTCTTAAAATTCATCACAGTTTCTAGTTAAATTACTGCCGGACTTGAAACGTTAACTGTTTTCTTCCTACAGATACTGCCAGCTCTGCTGAATTTTGCCAGCAATTTCTGTTTTGTTTCAGATCTCCAGCATTCACAGTTTTTTGTTTTACCATTATTTTAAACACCTGTATTAATCACTCTGTTCTAACAATATTCTCAATATTCCAAATTTACACATTCTGATACAAGTTCTTCTTGATGAGGAACTTATTGGTCATCTTGACTGGACAATAAAACAACTCAGCTGCAAATAGCAAAGTAGCAACAAAAGCTGTGTCTTGCAATCATCTGGTTTCGTGTTTTATATTACTATTTTAGTTGGTAATTTTTAGTTTGGGGGAAATTAAGTTTGTAAATATGACACAATTAAAGGTTCTAGACCTCAGAAATTACCAAACCTTCTAAAGTATTTATACATCAAAGGCCCTTCTTTCCTGAGTTCAACAATGGGAGTTAGGATGTCTCCCAACCGCCTGCATTGGGAAAACACATTTGAATAGCAGAATCTTCCAGGGGTTGGTGCTGGATAGAGTTACACCTGCTGCTCCCAGACACAGATCAAAGGTAGCCACAGGTACTACCAATTGCCAATGTGCCAAAGGTCTATTTTGGTTCTCTGGGGCTTTGCCTCAGCTGTTGTATTAAATATTAAGCCCCTCCATCCTAACAAACCTCCTCATTCCCCTAAACACCATGCCAAATTATGTTTCCAAATTAGCCATTTCCCTGACCCATGTCAACTCACTCTGTATCATTATAGCCAGGTTTCTGGAGCCATGTTGACATGAAATAAAATGAAGCTTTAAACATCTATTGCAATCTTTACGATATTAAAAAAAAAAGACACTGTCATTCATGAAGACCTATTGGAATCAATTAAATCCCCTTCAAGTACTTAATTTCTTATTAAACAACGGTTGTATTCATAATCCCAAATCAAGGACAGCTAACCCTTTAATAATCCTTGGAATACTGAAAGATTGTGGAAGTCAGCTAAGCACTAATAATGATGTAATGTTAACTCTTAGGGTAATAACAATGGAGATATTTGAAGAAAGTTTAGTGTTAGAGCTCTTGAAGCAGCTAAGTTATCATTTTTAGACTCTGGTTCAAAAGGCAGAGATAGAATTTTTTAGGAGTTGTACAGCAGCTGTAGACCAGGAGCAATGCAGAAGAATATTGGAAACAATTGGTGTTTCAGACTTTTTTTTTCTGCCATGATGCAGAAAGTGTGTGTGGCTTCATCTTGAGCTACAAAGTCTAAAATCTTACCAGCTGTGGAAAATTTTGACATGTTGTCCCAAGAAAGTGGATAATCTTCAAGATCCAAATAATTAGCCAAACTCTTCCTGTGGAGAAGAGAATATTCTGTTGAGGATTTCAGTGATTGCATTTTTTTAAAAATTTGAATCACTTCAGTTAGCGTTTAGTTAGTTACATTTGCTCTACTTGACCCTTACATCGTAATATTAATTTGTCTTAAACTATCAAATGTTATGGCTTCAATCTTGCAGCAACTAACTGGGATTTTGGATTTCTGTGTTACGAGTTACTGAGCTCTCTTTAGATCACACCAAGTATTTTAGACAAAATTAGAATAAACAAACAATTCATAATGGAATGATAATAACTTTCCAAGAAAGATTAAGGGAAAAATGGCAGGAAAATCACCTGCAGATGAAATTAAACAAATAACATCAGTTACAACTTCAAAGACAACATGGTAACAGTCTCCATGGACCAATGGTCGTTTCCAAACTGGAGATGGTCTATGTTTCTGAGAAATCAGAGATGACTAACAGGAATCAAAAACAACTCTGGGATATGCTGAAAAGTTCAGCATTAATTTTGCCCCCGCAGCTTCAGGATTGCAGTTCATAACATATTGATCTACAATAGGTTGGAACTTTTGATCAAGCCTGTCAGTCAGCTTCTCAATGGACCTTCCAAAAGATGTGATACCACCGTGGTGAGAATTCCAGAGCAACCGATTATCTATAATTTGCATGGCATAAAAGTTAAGAATGGTAAAACATCAGCTTCCAAAGGCACTCCAGGCAATATCTACAAACATGATGAGTCAACTATTACAAAGAATCTCTTCAGAACTTTCCAACTGAACCAGGGCAAAGTAGTAATACATCTGTATTTGAAGGATAAATTTGTTGTCGCATTATGAAAAACAGAAGTGTGATTTATCCAAATAAGCAACTGTCCTAAACTTTATGATATTTTGTTTCTGTCTGTTGATATATTGCCGGAATCCCCATGCTTTGTCTATACAAGATGGTAGACCAATTATGCATTTAAATCCATGCATTTCACTGTGATCTCAGTTACAAGACAGATTCAGAAAAAGAACAAAATATTGTTATTCAATGCCTACAAAATCCTGGCACAGTCTTTGAACAAATAAAGCAGACATATGCATACCATAGTCAAGTTTGATTACCCTGAAAGTTTTATCGACATGATTCAGCAGATATACAATGGAATATACAAGAAAGTGATTACCTGTTTAGAAGTGTCCAGTGCTTTCTAAATCATGAATGCTAAATCATCAGATTCCATCAGTGACTATGAAAGACGCAGTTTGTTTTGACACCATTAAGCTGGATTTAATGTGCTGTGGGTTTTGAAAGTAAGAGAGGGCATGTTAAATCCAGTAGGTGACATGCTGACTACCTACTCAACCAAACCTGCAATTTTACCAGAGACAATGGGAGGTGTGTCAGATGGCACGCCCATCTGCAAGTAAATAGAGGCCTACAGTGAGAAAATAGTGCGCAATTAAGGACCTTTTCCCACCACTACTAGGACATAACCAGTGCCAGGAAGGCCCACATATGCAGCAACCCAATAGCTTTCCCCATACTTGCAATTCCACCCTGCCAGGGCCGACAGCTGCTCCTAGCTCAAATTCCAGATCCAACACAGCATGCCTCCTCATGAGCCTTATAGCCAGAGGTGCTGGTGGTACTAAGGAGCTGGTGGCTATTGATTGCCTGGCAGTTCTCTTAGTCTGGACTTTTCATTGCTGAGTGGCAGAGTTCCTGCCTCAATTCAATTAACTGCCAATCAGAGCAGGGGTGGGCTCCCCCCAACACTTTACCTGAAGGGTCAGGCCCTGCAGTGCCCTGTTAAAGCCAATACATTAGTTTGGACTTTCTTCTCAGTCCTAATTTAAGAAAGCATGACAGAATGGAATCATGAAAATATATACATCTTACTTTGGCTACAAGCAATGGTGAAAATTAAATACTCACTGACAACTACTCTCTTGGTCCACACATTAAAATAACTCAGACTAAAGGCACTGTGAGGTAAAGTATGCAAAGTTCCCCAATTTACCCAGGTTGACAAAAAACATGGACCAGGTTTTTCTACTTAACAGGAATTACTATTTAGTACATGTAAGTAGAGTTTAGCTACAGATAACCAATTGTGAAGTGTTGGCATATGACACTAGGAGTTAGAACTCTAAACCCATTATAAACTCCCCTTGCAGACATGCATCTGCATATGCAGACACAAGGAGAAAAATCATGGGTGGAGGAAAGACTGGGAAGACAGTTCAGTGATTCCTGTTCACAGGGATGCTGAGCTGATTCCTTTGCTGATCAGGATGCTGTTTCTTGGCCGTCCTACTCTAGCTGCTTTCACTTGTTTGAAGGAGGCACAGAGTGACTGATGCACATTTAGAAAAGGTCTCAAAATTATTAATTTAAAATCATAATGGGCAGCAGTTAACTGCTGTAGTTAAAATGCAGAGAAGAGAGACAGCTCCTAGACTGGTGGAAGCCTAATTGCTTCTCCCTATCTTGTTCATAGTCCCAAGCTCTTCAGATACCTGAGAACCAATTGACTGTTGTTGGCAGTTAGAAGGCCTTTGTCACGATAACTTGTCACTAGTCCACAGACCTATCAACTACTTGTTTCCAGCTGAATCTCCATTCGTATACACCTTTGGCTCCAGCCTGCCTTTGCCTTCTTTTGCTATTGCTTCAATCAGCATCTATATATGCTGCATTACAATGAGTGTCAGATTTTTTGCTTTCAGAAACATGCTGTAATCCCTCTACAATCCTTGGTTTTAAAACAGTTAATTTCAAATTTCAGTCCACATTATAAATACAGAAAAAATAAAAGGTCACTGTCATTACAGTAACCAATGTAACATGTACTCATCGCTATCGTGCATTAAACTACATCTTGTTGTTAACACAAAAGCCTCTTCTTGTTAAGACTCACCAGTGGTTTATGCCCAACCACCATTAATCAAACATAAGAAGGAGGATTAATTGCAGCTCTCTACTCCCAACTATTCACTGGTAGTGGTTTATTCTCAATATTATGGCATATCCTAGAGAATCCGAAGGGCTAGAGAAAGAGAAAAATTGCTGCATATTACAACAGTACTGCATGTGATTCAGTCTTCCTAATTCAGCAAATGGGTTCTAGATTTAATTATCTGTATGCAAAAGACAATATTTATGATGCTCTTCATTGAAAACTAGAAATATTCCAGTTTTTATGGCTATTATATTACCATTTATAATAAATTTTTCAAGAACATAGTAAAGTAAGGTCTTTCTTCATCATTAATTTGACATATTGTTGAGTTTTGCTGTCTGCTAACAACAGTAGGTGGTATTTTTCTTCCATAAACAGGATATATTTTATTTGGTATTTATTTGGAGAGTGAATGTTTATTATTAGGGGTGTTTCATTTGTCTATTATCATTAACTTACATTATGTATCCATTATGATCTAAATGAATTGATGACTACAGAGCAGCAAAAGATTTACTATGAATGGTCATTGTTTTTTGCATGCTTCAGTGATGTGGAAGCTTGCTAGAAGTAGGCATGGAGCAAAAAAGGTCAAATCTCCCAAAGCGCTTGCTCACATAACTTTCAGCAGTGTTGTTAGAAAAATTAAAGATCTTCTCATTACATTTTTGTTAAATATCTGCTTTGAATTACTTTTATTCATTTGTAGATTGTGAACGTACCAAAAAGTCACCATTTTTTGTTCCTTCCTAATTATCCTTTTGGAGATGGTGGTGAACCATCTTGATTCATCTGAAGTAGGCAGACTAAACAGCTGCTAAGGAGGCCATTCCAGGGTTCTGACCCAATTACAGCAAAAGAATGGTGGTTTAGGGCTGGTCTTTATAGGACACATTACTCCCCGGTTCGTCCTGACTCTCCCACAACCGAGATATTGATATCAACCCTCCCACCTAAAACCTGGTTGCCCTGCAGCAATATTGTGCTGAGACCAGTCTTAATTCATTCAGAGTGAAACTTCGGATTCCTTCTGGGAGAAAGTCCCAACGCTAGGAGCTGCTGACCAGCCAGATTAGTCGGCTGCTCTGTAATCCTAGCAGTGCCAGAATTGAGCAGTCACCATCCTTGGGACTACAGGCATTCCCCAAGCAGAAGACTGATGGAGTACAGACTTAACGGTAAGTCTGGGATTTTAGATGGACCTAGTGACAGATCTCTGCAAGGTGGATGGTGGTAGGGGGGCAACTTGGGTTTGACAGGAGTGAGTTAAAGAGGGGTACAATTTTCAGGATATCTCCATTGGACACAAGGGACAGCCCCCAAACAAGGCATACTCCCTCCCACATTTTTATTGACAGCAAAAGCTGCTGGACTGCCTGTGATAACAAGGTGTAGAGCTGGATGAACACAGCAGGCCAAGCAGCATCAGAGGAGCAGGAAAGCTGACGTTTCGGGCCTAGACCCTTCTTCAGAAATTCAGAAAACTGCCTGTTGTGACTCTGCCTTCACTGTTAGACATAAAATATCATTGGAGGTGGAATGAGGCACCTACATGGCCATTAGTTGGCCAGTTAAGGTCCTCACTAGGTCAAAAGGCAGGCAGGTTATCTGCGTTTACCCCACCCATTGTAGAATGGGAGACAGGCATGGTTGGACATGAGGCAGTGGGAAGTCAATGCATTTTATTTTATGAGATTTCCCACCATCAATAATTTCAGCAGGACAGAGCTCTGATTTATAGCATCTGCAATTCTTTCAGATTTTATTTAGCCATTCAAGAAGATAGTTCCCCCATCACCTTCTCAAAAGCAATTAAGGATGGACAATAATTTGTACTGTATAGACAGATTTCTTGTTGCATAATTTACAATCAGTAAAATGATATCCCATTTTATAAGAATGAAGCATTTATGCTGTAAGAGGAATAACATTGCAACCACTTATCTCTGATGACTAAATTAAATTTTATTCTTCCTTACATATTGCCAGATAATTTATGGACCAATTCATATTATAGCCTCATACACATAAACAGTTAATTCAGCCAATGTAAGTGCCATAAAAGTTCTGCTTCATAGTTGCTGCAAAGAAGTGTATGTAGTGACATTCTAGACATGTCACCCTGCCTGTAAATTTGTCTCTGATATCATGGAAAAACATTCAGCAGCCCTTGCTTTAGTTCCCCTTTTCCTTATACCAGTGTCCATTCAATGGCTTCCTCGTTGAAATTCAAGCTGTTTTATTTTTCTCCCAGATCGCTCTGAGATTGTAAAATTCTCTTTTTAAGAGCATAAATTATATTGTGATTTTTAAAAACAGTTAAGATAATAAACCTATAGAATTTGGCTATATCAGATTGACAAAAGAAGCAACAAGGAATTGGAGATTTTGGAGATTTAAAACTGGACAAATCCCCAGGTGCAGGTACATTGCATCCCAGGCTGTTTTGGGAGAGGTGAAATGAAATTACAGGAATGCTGACCTAAATTTTTAAATCATCTTTGGCCACAGGGGAGGTGCCTGAGGACTGGAGGACAGCTAATGTAGTTCCACTTTACAAGAAAGCTGATAGAGATAGACCAAGGAATTATAGTCCCAGGAGTCTAATTTTGTGAAACTATTGGAGAAGATTAACCTCCATTTAGAGAGACAAGGTTTGATCAGGGATAGTCAGTATGGTTTTGTCAGAAGGAGGCCACGCCTGACAAATTCGGTGGAATTTTTCGAGGAGGTGACAAAATTTTGGATAAGGATAGAGCAGTTGATGCAGTTTATATGAATTTCAGATTCGGCCTTTGGCAAGGTCCCAAGGAAACTGATAAAGAAGGTAAAAGCTCATTAGATCCAGGGTAACTTGGCAAGATTAATCTAAAATTGGTTGAATGTTAGGAGACAGAGAATGGTGGTAGAAAGCCGTTTGTGTGACTATAGCCTGGTGTGGAGCTGGGTTCTGTAGTGTTTGTAACAAGGTCAGCCAAGTGGATCTCATAGAATATTAGTTCCCTGCTTGCGGCTATTATCTTGTCCAATTAAAGTTTCCTGGCCGACAGACATAAACAGAAGTATCAGAGGTTCCACTCACTCTAGGAGCCAGATCTGAGCTATCTGGGTCAGTGACATGTACTATGCACGTGTATATAAAGGGTGACTTGGTAAAGCGATACCAGACTTTGTGGAGTTATTTCGGGCTCCTTATTGTTTGTAATATTCATGTAGGTGAGAATGTGGAAGGGTTAATACGCTAGATTGTGGATAACACACATATTGGCTGGGTGGTTCACAGCAAGGAGGAAGAGGTAAGGTTATAGGGGGATATAAACTGATTG